TATAACTTTTACTTCCTTTGTTAGATTGACTCTTTTTTTTGCAGTACTAGATTGAACTCAGGACCTCATGCTTGCCAGGCAAGCGCTTATCCTCCTAAGCTATCTTATCTCCCTGGCCCTTAGATTGACTCCTAAGTATTTCATTTTGGGGGAGCTATTGTCAAGGGTGTGTTTTCCCTAATTTCTCAATGAAGTTGTTGTTTGTGCGTAGGAATGCTGCTGATGTTTGAGTACTGACTTTTTATTCAGCCATGGAAATGAATTTTGTTATTAACTCTAGGAGTCTTTTGGTGGAAGTTTTTGGGGTCTTCTATGTAGAGTATCATGTCATCTGTGAGATGATAGTTTAATATCCTTTCCTATCATTGTTCCTTTTATTTCTCTCTTTTATCTAATTGCTCTGGCTAATGTTTTCAGAAATGCATTAAATAACAGTGTTGATAGTGAAAAGCCTTGTCGTGTTTCTGATTTTAGAGTGAAAGCTTTTAAGTTTTGTTCATTTAACATGATGTTGGCTGTTGATTGTCATAGATGGCTTTTATCAGATTTAGGTACAGGCCATCTATTCTAATTTTCTTCAGTGTTTTATCTTGAACAAGTATTGGACTTTTCAGAAGACTTTTCTGTATCTATTGAGCTGATCCTATGAAATTTGTGTCTGGCTCTGTTCTTATGGTATATTACATTTATTGATTTGCATATATTGAACATCCCTGCATTCCTTGGATAAATCCTATCTGGTCCTGGTGTGCAGTCTTCTTGATGATTTGTTGAATTCTGTTTGCTAGTATCCTATTAAAGATTTTTACATTTATATTTATTAATGAGATTGGCCTGCAGTTCTCTTTTTTGATTGGATCTTTTTCTCGTTTTGGTATCAGGGTAATACTTGCCTCCAGGAATGAGTTAAGGAATACTGCTTTGCTTTCAGTTTCATTCAAGACTTTGAGCAGTATTGGTATTAAATCTTCTCTAAATTTCTTATAGAATGCAGCAGTGAAACTGTCAAGACCTAGGCTTTTTTTTCTTTCTTTCTTTTTGGTGTATCTTGGTATGATTTTATTTAAATGTCTTTGTAAAATGTTCATTTTTCTTTTTTTTTCCCATAATTTTATTGAGAAACAAATAGCAATAAGACAGTTTCAAACCAAATTTTGGTAGGACAGTTTCAATAATTAACACATTGCGTACATTCTTCCCAGTGGTTAATTGCTGCACAAGATGCAGACTTGATATCCTATTTACAAACACCATTAGAACAAATCCCACTATTCATTAAGAGAATGTAACTATATATCTATCCTAACCACTTTGAATACACAGATACAAAATGGACATTTTCTTTGTTGGTATTTAATTACATTTTCAGTCTCATTAACTTGTACCAGGTTATTGAGAATTTTTATATCTTCTTGATTCAGCTTTTGTAATTTATTTGTATTTAGGAATCTGTATTCCTTCTGTGTTTTCCATCCTATAGGACTATTTTTGATGTAGATATTGATCTAAATTTTCCCAGGATCTGTAGTGATTTTACCTTTATCATTCCCTAATGCATGAATTTTAGTACTTTTTTGATAAGGTTTGCTAAGGGTTACACTTATTCTTTCATAGAACCAACTCTTTGATTCATTAATTCTTTTTTTTAATCTTTTATTTATTTGGCACTGGGTCTCACTATGCAGCTCAGACACATAGTGATCCTCCTCTCTCAGCCTTCCCAACCCTGGGATTACAGGCATGTGCCACCACACCCAGTTTCAGTGGCTGGCATGAGGTGTCTGGGGTTCTTGGGCCAACACTACATGTGGTACCAAGAATCGAGCCCAGGTCTTTGTGCTTGCCAGGCACATGTTTAGACTACTGAGCTATCTCCCTAGCAGATTCACTAATTCTTTTTATTGATTTCTTGGTCCATTCTGTTAATTTCTGCTCTGATCTTTATAGATTCCTTCCTTCTTTGGACTTTAGGCTTCACTTGATCTTCTTTTTCTAGGACTTTAAGGTGTAATATTAGGTTGATCTATTTGTTTGTTTTGTTTTTAATGTATTCAGTCCAGGGGCTATAGTGTCTTACTACACAGATCGGACTTCTAGTGATCCTCTTTTTCAGCCTACTAAATGCTGGGATTACAGGCTTGTGCCACCACACCCAGTCTCAATTGCCCTCTCAGTGCACCCTGGGGGCGGGGCTGACATGACAGGCTGGGGCATTGTACCTGATCTATTTGTTTATTTTTATTTTCCTGATGTGAGAATTCACCATTATATATTTCCCCTTAGTACTGCTTTCATTGTGTTCCATAAGTTCTGATAGTTGTATCTGCATTCTCATTTACATGAAGATATTGTTTAATTTCTTCCTTTATTTCATCTGTGACCCATTGGTCGTTTACAAAGGTATATTTAATTTCCTTATGTTTGTGAAGTTTTTGCAGTTTCTTTTGCCATTAATTTCCAATTTCATTTCACTATGGTCAGATAATATGCATCGGATAATTCCTATTTTTTTTTCATTTACCTAAGGATGTCTGTGGGCTAGTGTATGGTCTATTTTAGAGAGTGT